TCCACCGCAAAGCCCTCCCATCCGCCTCCCCTTCTCCCTGCAGGGGTCTCCCGCCTGCCCGGCGACAGAGGCCAGCAGGCCTTACACAGACCCCCAGCCCCAGTTCGGGCAGGCTTTTTCCCCAGCTGGGGGTTGGAGGGGTACCACTTCCCACCCGTGGGCGTGGGGGGAGGTCTCCCCACTTTTCCGAAGGCGAGAAGTGAATGAGCAGGCAGCCGGGGAGACTGAGGCAGCCTTTAATCCGGAAACCTCGGGGGACAGCCACACGGGTGACAATCCCAGTGGCACCTGGGCCTGCTGACCCTCCTCCTGCAGAGCGGGGAGCCCAGCCTTCCCCCAAAGACACGAGGGGCCTCGGGGAGGGCGCTGCCGGGACAGGCTGGTTCTCAGCTTCCCAAACGCTCCCCAGGGGGTGGGGGGCGAGGCTGTCAGCCCCGAGCGTGTCCCACGGCCAGAAGCCCCTGGGGAGTGGCCCTCGCTGGCCCCAGCGGCTCCCTCGGTGCGTCTCCGGGGTGGCTTTGCATGGAGGCCCCTTACCCTGCGGACTCCTCTTCACTCGTGGTCCTGGGTGGGGGCTGGGGGGTGCCAGGGCTGGTGGTCACCACACGGGCAGCAGAAAGTCCGGAGGTGGCGGGGGAGAGTCCATGGAGGGTGGCGGGGGCCTCTGGGGGGCTCGGGTCTGCTGTGGAGAGGACTGGAGCCTCCGGCAGGACGGCGGGGGGCAGAGCAGGCCACCTGGACACCGTGTGGGCCCCAGAGACTGTGGCCAAAGGCTCTGGAGTAGCAGGAGCCCCGGGAGAGGCGGGAGGTAGAGAGGAGGCTCCTGGGGGGGTGGGAGGCCCCGGTGAGGGCCCCGCGGGGGGCAAGGGGGAGGCCTGGGCCCCCGAATGGCTCCTGGGTAAAGTCTGCCGGTTGGACACGTTGGTCCTCAGGAGGAGCTGGAGGAAGTGGGGCGTGGGCCGCTGAGGCTGGGCTGCCGGGGGCCCCAGCGGGGGCTCAGGGCCGTGTCTGCAGGAGGGGGCAGCCCCCGCCCGTCCTCCGGGGAATCTAGAGAGAGGGGCAAACGGGCACAGTGGCTCTCCGACAGCCGAGGCAGCTCTGGGCACTGCCCCCTCCTCGTCTGAGGCCTCGAGCCCCGGCGAGGACCAGTCAGGAGAGGAGAGCAGACACGCGCGGAGGGAGGCAGTTCACAGAGGCCCTGCCATTAACTGGCAGTGACGTCGTGTGAGGCACACGACTGCCCGGGCCTCTGTTTCCTCATCTGTGAAATGGGCGCACAGGGCAGCTCTGAGGACCCACCGACACGGGGCCGGGCGTCTCGGCCTAAACCCCAATGGGAACTCCGCACTGTGGGTGGTGAGCCTGTGAGCCTGTGTCCGCGTAGGGTCCCCCGCTAACCAATGTGCCATCTGCTGCGGGCGGGCTGGCGCTGGGCAGCTGCGCGGGAGGCGGAGGGCCCATGAGAACGCCCTGTCCCTCCTCTCAGCTTTGCCGGGAACCTGAAACCGCTCTATAAATTAATCTATTGTAAAGTGGCTTTTTTTTCATCTCAGCCTGGAGCCCGGAACATCCTGGGGGGTTTTATACATGGGTGGGGGCGGGGCAAGGAAAGGAAGGAAAGGGTAGGAGAGAGGCAGAGAGACGTGGAGACGGAGGGCAGACGGAGAGGAAGGGCTGGAGAGAGACACGTCCCGGAGGCCCCGGAGGCGATGGCTGTTGTCACACACACACACACGAACGCACTGGACCAGTGACACCGACAGCCGCCCAAGGACAGTCACACACTCTCACACTCAAACCCTGAACGGTCCGCTGGGGTGTGTGACACAGACGGCATGGGAACCACACTGTGTGTGTGTGTGTGTGCGCGTGTGTTTTAATCCTCACTTTAATCCTCACTGGAGGATCTTTTTCCCATTGATTTTTATAGCGTGGAAGGGAGGGAGGGGAAGAGAGAGAGAAATCGATGTGAGAGACACATCAATTGGTTGCCTCCCTCCTGGGCCCTGACCAGGGCCAGGGATCAAACCGAGGTAGGTGTCCTTGACCAGGAATTGAACCTGCGACCCTTTGAGTCCGAGGACCAGCGCTCTAACCACTGAGCACCCAGCCAGGGCAGCTGTTATTTTTTGTTTGTTTGTTAAAAAAAAACAACCCATGTTCTATTTAAATAAAAAGCAGTTTGTCCTTCAAAGGAGTTAGGAAGAGTCGTGTGGTGAAGGAAACGGAGCTGTGTTTCAGGAGAAGGCGCCCCGCTGTGCCTCACTCCTTTGGGCCTCATTTTCCCCCTCTGGAGGCGGGAGAGCGGAGTGGGAAAGCGCAGGGGAACGGGATCAGAGAGACCCGGCCTGGCCCGACTGGTGTGGCCAGTGGTTGAGCATCGGCCTAGGAACCAGGAAGTCACGGTTTGATTCCCGGTCAGGGCACATGCCTGGGTTGCGGGCTCGATCCCCAGTAGGGGGTGTGCAAGAGGCAGCCGATCCATGATTCTCTCTCATCATTGGTGTTTCTATCTCTCTCTCCTCTCCCTTACTCTAAAATCAATAAAAACATATTAAAAAATAAAAAAGAGACCTAGCCTGGAGTCAACACCAGTACAGCTTAAAAACAGATACTGAACTTCTCTGAGCCTCTATTTCCCCATCTGCAAAATGGGATGATAAACAGCCACTCTCGAACGTTCCCAGGAGCATGCAAATGAGAAATACAGCTGAAACGCTCCGTATCCTGCCGGGCACCTCCGCTAACGACTAGTTTCTGGACAGCGTGGGGAATAACACCGCTCGGCTGGCGCAGGAGTGGGTGGTGGGTAAACTGAGGAAGAATCTATAAAGCTCTCAGGGGCTCCCAAGGCCCGGCTGTCGGGGCTCAGGGCGCCTGCAGCCCCCACGTCCTGACAGCGGCTCTGCATCCACAGACCCGAGAGCCGCCCTGCACACACAGCATCCCTTCAGCAGCCCAACGGCGATGCGAGACGTTTCACACGCGAGAAGATGCAGGCCTCAAATCGGTGGGAAAACTCACCGGAAGTTTAAAAAACGTAAAAGAACCACATTTAAGGTCCTTTATAGACGGGTGAACTTGGAAGAGTTAAATTCCACCCACACGGGGTCACGAGCGGGTGGGCGCCGGGAAGCCCACGCCACGGGAAGGCTCCTCCCTCTCCACCCGGTGACGGCGCTGAGGTCACGCGGTACCGGGTGCCAAAGCGTCCTGATGCCCTGAGACCCCGTCACGGCACCTACTAACCACGTGTCCGAATGCAACTCACAAAACTTAAGAAAACCGTCGTCTGACCGAAGATCTTTCGCAGCATGGACATTATGGATAGAATTAAAAAGGGAGAAGCCGCCGTAACCGGTTTGGCTCAGTGGATAGAGCGTCGGCCTGTGGACTCAAGGGTCCCAGGTTCGATTCCGGTCAAGGCCATGTACCTTGGTTGCAGGCACATCCCCAGTAGGGGGTGTGCAGGAGGCAGCTGATCGATGTTTCTAACTCTCTATCCCTCTTCCTTCCTCTCTGTAAAAAAAATCAATAAAATGTATTTTTTTTAAAAAAAGGGAGAAGCCACCGAAGCATCCGCCGAAAAGGCAGCGGGTGAGCGACCGGAATATTTGGGAGCTTTTTAAACGGCCAGCACGGGCCCCAGGAGCCCTGCACAGCTGTGTCCCAGCGGCGGCCTGTCTCCCGTTTACACCTGAGAGAGCGACCCGCGTGGGCGCACACGGACGACGGAGGAAGACACACAGGAGAGTAGCTTTCAGGAGTCAAGAGCACGCAGGAGCTGAGAGCCCCGGCCCCACGCTCAAACCCTGGCTCTGCTGCGGCCAGCTGTGACCTCGGGCGCTCACTGCCCGGCTCTGTGCCTCAGGCGCCCCCCTGGAAATGGGGGTGATGGCGGCGCCTGTCTCAGCCGCTGGGCAAAGGGAAGGAAGGCAGGCCCCGGAGGCCCCCTGGCACATCGAGGCCTCAGTACATATTCGCAGTGAGCCCTCTGCAAAGGGGGTGCGGTCCCCAAGCTCTAATTTCTCAAAAAGGAAGAAAGCAGAGGAAGCGATGGAGGAAGGAGACCATGGGGAAGAAAGGGCACGGTGAACAAACCTGTCACACGGAGTGTCCCCAGCCGGGCGCACCGAGTGCGAGCCCCGTCCCCTCTCTGAGCCCGTCCCACACCCTGCGCTTACGAGTTCTGTGTCTGTAGGAAGAGGGCGGTGGAGAAACCCAGGCCC